TCCATTCGGCAAATATTGAAAAATGAGCTCGGGGCAAAGCCATTGAAATTACAAAAAAGGGCAAGAACTTACACCGCAACAGAAAGAAAATAGACTCAAGAGAGCTAAAGAGTTGCTTCGCTTGGCCGAAAGTGGTGAACTGCGGAATTTGGTTTTTTCCGATGAGAAAACATTCGTTGTCCAGCAGTTTGTAAAGAAAGAAAATGCTCGTGTTTACTTGCCAAAGAGTTCAGCTGAAAATGTGCACCTTCGGTTGACCACCTCAACTCAAGAGCCGCCCATTGTGATGGTGTGGGCCACCATAAAAGCCGATGGTCGCTCTCCGCTCGTATTAATCGACCTTGGCATCAGAATAAATGCCGAATATTATCGCGAAAATATTCTGGAGGGTTTATTAAAGCCTTGGGAACGCAAACATTTTGTCTGCAGACCAACAGGACTCAGCACGCGCCACCAAAGAATGGTTACAAAATTAGGTTCCTCGCTTCATTTCCAGCGTCCAGTGGCAACCAAAATCTCCGGATACCAATGCGTTTGACTATTATGTCTGGAGTATTTTGGAATGCAAGGTTGGCATTAAAAAATACCAAAGTGTCGATCACCTCAAGCAAGCACTTCGCCGGGAATGGACCAAAAATACCGCAGAGCTACATTGGGGTAGCGTGTGACGGTTTCATTGGCCGTTTAAATGTTATAATTCTTGCCAAAGGTGACCAATTCGAACAAATCTTAACGTATTCTCAAATTTGATGCTATTTCCGACATCTTTTGATTTCATTCAATAAAATTTAAAAAAATGTTATTTTAAAAAAAAAATGTTGTTATCAGATATTTGGAAAAAATTTTATTTTCCTAGCATGAACTAAATCTTCTTTCACCGATATCGGGAAATCTTTAGTATAAGACCCATAACATCTATTAAATATTAAAAAATTCAATGTAAATGTGATCTCCATGAATAATTATATTTTATACTATCTCTTAAATATTTATGTAAAAAGTGTCGTATTTTGTATGCCTGCAGAAACGGACTATATGATTTTTAATATATATAGTCCATTTTGCATTTCACCCCACCACACCGACAATTTAACCACTGTTGCTGAATCACGTCGCGCACTAAGTGTATGTGCAGTGGCTTAACACGTTTAAACACTTCACACATTAAATGGCAGCAGCAGCAGCATCGTCGTCGTCGTTGTCTGTTATCTTTATGGAGGGGTGTTAACAACGTCGTGTAGTTGGATTTGAAGAAAATCGTTTGACAATCGTACATTTGCCATTTTTGAATTTACACCTACACGTCTTTCACCAACAGACACCAAAGTGGAACTCTCACACACACACACACACACACAAGAAGGAGATCTGATTAGGAAATTTATGGCTAGCTTATGTAAAACGAATGACAAAGAGAAGCAATGATATGTAGCTACTAAGAATATTTCATATGAAATATGTGTGTGTGGCGTATGCGTTATGTGACTGCAGATATTGGGTTACGTATACGTCATGATGGCTACGTTTTCTTGAGGGGAGAATGGAGTCTCTGGATTTAAAACAAATATAATATTTGTTTAATTTTTTTGTAATATAAACGAATATTTTGTAAAAAAAAACTCAAGAGAAATATAACAAATAAAAATTTTGATCGATGTGCTTGACCACATCCTTGTAAAAGTAATTAACATCTACTATATGGAGAGGATGCACCATTTAATGGAGGGTATATTAGCATTGTCATTCCATGTGTAACTCCTCGAAATATTCATAATAGACCATAAAAATTATATATATTCTGAATCAGCATAAAATTCTAAGATGATCTAGCGATGTCCGTCTGTCTGTCATAATCACATTTTCTTTCGAAAATATAACGGTACCTTCCGATACTCGGTATTTTCCTGATTTTTGCGACATTATTCACCGTAATTGTAACAAATTTCGTATTTAAAGTTCGTAATGGGTAGACCCCACAAAGTATATATATTCTATATCAGCATAAAATGTCCGTCCGTCTATTCGTCTGTGGAAATCACTCTAGCTTCCGAACGAATTGCAGTAGATTGATAAAATTTTACTCAAATGTATGTTATGTCTGCAGGACTTTTGGTATTGAAAATGAGCCATGCAGGTTCACGACTTCGTAGAGCCCCCATATAACGGAACCTCCCGATATTCGGTATTTTGTCAGAATTGTTTCAAATTTGGTATTTGAAGTTCGTAATGGATACTACAGCCTAAGGCAGAAAATTATTTGTGCAGGTCCACGTCTTCGTATAGCCCCCATATAACGGTACCTCCCGATATTCGGTATTTTTATTTTATCGACTTTATTTTTTTTAATTTTGGCATTTGAATATTGTAATGGCTTATGACAAATGTTACCTATGCAGGTTCATGTCGTCGTATAGACCCTAATATAACAGCTACATTCTGTATTTTTAAGATTTTTACAGATTTTTTTAACGGATTTTATTGTTTTTGAGAATTGCCAAATGGTGGAGGGTATTCAAAGCTCGAATATTTGCAATTATAACCCTGTATCAATATATCAAATTATATACTTAAAAATTTTGACAAAATTATCCAATGCTGAAATTTTTTTCACTGTGATTGTCCACCTAATTGTCCAATGCATTTAAAATTTTGCCATTGACTAATAAATTTGTTGAACAAGGGCAATCTACACACCTCCTGACACGCATACACGATGGCATTTTAAATAGCTTTTTTTGAGTAAACTAATAGGCAAGTCAGCAGCAATTCATGCGAAATGTGTAAATATGTGCTTAGAGGAAGATGTGGGTGCAGTAACAGTATGGCTTGACAGTTAAACATTGTAGTACTTCCGCCTTTTCCATGTTCAATGCAAGTTTTTCTTACAGCTCACAATGGCAAAAAAATTATGGTTTATCCAAACAAAAGGGATAACATATTATGACAATATAACCAACTACAAAAAGGTATGGAAATAAGTGTAGTAATGTATTTTTTAAATATAAGATAAAAAAACTGTAAAAAAAGAAACAAATGCCATAATTTTTACTTTTTTTAAATTTTATTGAATGAAAGCAAAAAATGTCGGAAATAGCATCAAATTTAAGAATACGTTTCGATTGGTTCGAATTGGTCAACTTTGGCACGAATTATGGCCTTCAAACGGCCAATGAAACCGTAACACGCTGCCCGAATGTTGCTCTGCGGTATTTTGGCCCATTCCCGGCGAAGCGCTTGCTTGAGGTGATCGACACTTTGGTATTTTTTAGTACCAACCTTGCTTTCCAAAATACTTCAGGCACAATAGTCCAACGGATTGGTATCCGGAGATTTTAGAGGCAATTGTGCGCTGGAAATGAATCGGGGAAGCTCATTTTGTAACCTCTCTTGGGTGGGGCGTGCTGAGTGCGATGGTGTTGAGTCCTGTTGCAATGTCCAAGATCTGCGGACAAAATGTCTGCGTGCCCAAGGTTTTAATGCACCCTTCAAAATATTTTCAATATATATTCTGATGCCAACGTCGATTAATACGAGCGAAGAGCGACCATCGGCTGTTATGACGGCCCATGCCATCACCTTGGCAGGCGCTTGAGTTCTGTTGGCCATATGAAGGTGCACATTGTCAGCTGACCTCCTTGGCAAGTAAACACGATCATTTTGTTTGTTTATAAACTGCTGGACAACAAATGTTTTCTCATCGGAGAAAACCAAATTCGACAGTTTACCACATTCGGCCAAGCGAAGCAACTCTTTAGCTCTTTTGAGTCTAGTTTCTTTCTGTTGCGGTGCAAGTTCTTGGACTTTTTGGAATTTCAATGGCTTTACCCCGAGCTCAATTTTCAATATTTGTCGAATGGAATATTGCGATATGTTCAACTCACGAATCATTTTTCGGCCAGTGCGACGCAGGTTTCGATCAAGTCGCTTCTTCACTTTTCGTACAATTTCAGCTGATGTTGCTGTTTTCTTCCGTCCACTTCCTTGACATCGGGCTATGCTACCAGTACCACTGTAACGAGCGATGGCAAGAGACTCAAAAGATTTATTCGCATTTAATTGCTGGAGTGCTCTAAAGATAACCACTTGTGGTTTTCTAGCCAAATATCAAGAAATCACACTGTCGCACTTGAATTCCATCACGAATAACTTATTTTCTGCAAAATTCACCAAAATGTGCTGTCACGAGAATCATTTTAACAGCTGTCGGACGAGTGGCTTAGAAATGTCAGCAATCTGAAGTTGGTTGCAGTTTTTTTTTTCATCTCACTCTGTATTACCAACAATAAAAAGGGATGGAAATAAGTAGAGCATAATATTTTTTTCTATTTTTTGCAAGTGATTTAAAAAATAGGTGGGGGACTTACCAGGAGGATTGGACCGATATATCCCATCTTCAAAGCTGATCTTGTGTTTGTAAAAATTAAAATCGGTACCAGAAATAGTGGTTTGATATATTCCATTTTCACGCAAGGTCCTGTAAGTATTCAAAATGTTCGTGGGGAATTACCGGAAGGATTGGTATGTTCTATTCCATCTTCAATCGTTTCTTTTTCAAATTATATTAACGTTGCGATTATTCGAAATTTTAGACCTTCGTGAAGATTTCTTTGACTTTCCTAGTTTACTTCCCTTCTAAAAATCCTATGTAGGCTAAATTTGGTATTTTGTTTTCATAAATAACTCTTCTTAAATATAAAAATATCCCATTAAATCCTTTTCCCTTCATCTAGCACATATCTATCTGTCATTCTTTCCTACTCACTTTATCAGGTAAAACCAATAAACGACTAGACTTGCCAGCAAAAAGCCATACCATATCATTTATATAAACCATGTAATTTATTGAAACTATTTTCATGCTAGTCTTTTTTCTTCTCTGCAACTTAGAAAAGTTCATTAATTATAGTCAAATGCTTAAAGGACAGACCAACAAACATACTTATCAAATATATATGTATGTGTCTACGTACGTACATCTTAATAAAGCATACTCAAGAAAATTTACCAAAGATTAAAAACACATTTATTCTTGTTTTTCTCATAATTACAGAACACCAAGTCAAATAATTTATTGTTGAAGATAGAAATTTTCAGAAGCAAGGCAAGGACAACAGGACTATCAATAATGATGGTCATTACAGGAGCATAGTGTCATAATTATCATCATTAGGAATGTCCTAAGATGGTGTAGGGGGTCTTAATGTAGTTTGTGGCTTCGTTGTTGGTCTTGGAATTTTTACATATTTTCGTGGTTGGGACAGAATTTTTTTTTGGTTTGTTTTGGGCATTTTCAAGGTAGTAGCTGATGTTGATGCTATTGAAAAATTGATATGAGTTAGCAAAGGTACTCATATTTAAAACTTTATTTTTGGTATGACCTTAAATATCTTGAAATATAACTTAACGAGATACATAATGAGCGTAATGCCAACTGAGGTCTTCAGCAGGTTGTGTAAGAAAAGTATTCTGAAAAGATAACGAGAGTAGCAGGGTTTCATTATCAAAAATTTTGAAAAGTTGGAGCAAATCAAAAAAAAAAAAAAAAAAAAAAAGAACAGAACAGAACAGAAACACAAACACACATAATTAAAATAAAACATTTGGTGCGAATTATAACTATTGAAAATTTTTTTAACATTGGGGGAGCCTTGCCCCGTAAAAAGTGAATAAATTTTTATACCCTACAACACTATGTGTTGGGGGTATTATAAGTTTGATTGGGCCAAAAATTATGTAACACCTCGAAATATTTGTTTCACACTTATATGGATATATGGATCTTCCTATCTCGCCGAGGTGGGTCGATCTTGCTGTGTATGTCCGTCCGCCCATGTTAATTTGTAATCAAGTTACAGGTCGCAATTATGACCCGATCCTCACGAAATTGAACTGAACCAAAAACTGAAAAATTTCCTGATTTTGCAGTTGCTCTATAAGCCATAATTATGCACCAATCGACGCGAAAATTTACATGGAATTAGGAGTTAGTAGGCCTACCAATTTGGGTGGCCATCGGACAATATTTAGCGGGTAAAATAGACTCTAACTTTTATTAAGGAAATAGAAAATTTCCACTAAACCGCGAATATTTTTAATCCCAGCCAAATCACAAGTACATTAAAAGGTCACTTCTGACCATTAAAGTGATGCTGATAGCCAAGAAATCTGATATATAGCAAAATAGGAACAATATATACGTAAAAGAAATATGTCTTATTTATTCTGCTTATATGTCAAAAACCGCTGGGCCGATTTTCAAAATTCCCATCAATTGGAAAGATCTTTTGCCAGACTAGGATGAACAAATAAAAAAGTGAATATCTTTTGTTCCTTTTTTCAATTTTTGTCATATTTTTTATCGCATGATATTTTCCATTTGACTTACAATTTTGAATTGTATTTTTTTTTAAATTTTTACACCCTGCAACACTAAGTTTTGAGGGTATTATATATATACATGTCGCAATTATCGTCCGATCCTCCCGAAATTTTGCATGGGGGTAGGGTTAGGGTCAGAATTAAAGCCTATTGTTCTTAAGATTTACATTTAGGGGTTCGAATTTTGTAGTCGCTCTATAGACAAAAATTGAAAACTAATCGTCACGGAATTTCGCATCAGAAGAGAGTTAGGTACAGGGGATTCCAAAACTTACAAAGTTATTACTGCTTTCAAAGGAGAATCCATAGACTTTGAATCAATAGATCCCATCTTAACATACGCTCAAATATTGGTAGAAATATCACTTGGCACAATGTTCGGAGATTTGGGTACTTTTATAAAAAATTTTGACTTTTTTGAGGTAATACGGAAAATTGTTCCGAAATAGTCCACTTCAATGTTGAGTTTTTAAATTTAGGCCATATTCGCTATTCCCACCATTTTTATGAGATATATAAGTTCTTGATTGCCACCTATGTATGGGAGGTATCAGAGGAATGAAGCGAAGTATTGAAGTATGAAAAACACCAAACTGTGGTCGGGGCGTTATGTCTTTGTGCATTTGTTTGGAACATGGTGGAAGAGACCAGATAGACAAATTGCTACTTTTGAATCAAATTCTGTCTGTCTAAGAATTTTTTGTGAACAAATGCAGGTCGCAATTATTATCCGATTGAGATGAAATTTTCCAAAAAATATCTATTTGGCCGAAAGACGAAGCGAAGTTGATGAGAATCGGTTCAAATTTAGATATAGCTCCCATATATATCTATGTCCGATTTCAATTTTATTGTGCGCCAAATGTGTAATGTTCGCCCAAAAAGGCACATCCAGCCGAAATCAGCCTAGAAATAAGTACTTTAAATTTGGAGAACATCGGCTTTGATATAGCTACAGCTCCCAGATATATGTTTTATTTGATTTAGTGTTTAAGTCCCTCACATTCGTAACGGATATTAGATACAGCTCAGAAATACATCGAACAAATTTAATCGAGATCGGTTCAGATTTGGCTATATCTATATCCGATATCATCCGATTTATTGGCACAAAATGACTAATGACTTGAATTTTGGCACTTCTGGCCTAATCTAGCCTAGAAGCAAGTGCTTCAAATTTGTTGAAAATCGGGTCAAAAATAGCTATAGTTCCCATACATGTGTTCGATCCGATTTGGTGTTTAAATCCTTCGCATTCGTTATATGGACCCCACAACAGTGATTTTTGGTACCGGGTATCATTTACAGCTCAGAAATACGTGGAGATCGGTTCAGCTTTGGATATAGCTTCCATATTTATCCTTTGGATATGGCTTCCATATTTATCCTCATACGATTTCACGGTTGTTGATGGCGAACAACAGGGTGAGATTAAAAAACTACAACCAACTTCAGACTGCTGTCATCTCTAAGTCACTCATCCGACAGCTGTTAAGATTATTCCAGTGATAGCTGGAATATTTGGCTAGAAAACCACAAGTAGCTATCGTTAGAGCACTCCTGCATTTAAATGTGAATAATTTTTTTGTGTCTCGTACCATCGCTCGTTACCGTGTTACTGGTAGCGTAGCCCGACTTCAAGGAAGTGGACGGAAAAAAACAGCAACATCACTAGAAATGGTACGAAAAGTAAAGAAGCGACTTGATCGAAACCCGCGTCGCAATGGCCGAAAAATGGCTCATGAGCTGAACATATCGCAATATTCCATTCGGTAAATATTGAAAAATGAGCTCGGGGTAAAGCCATTGATATTCCAAAAAGTGCAAGAACTTACACCGCAACAGAAAGAAAATAGACTCAAAAGAGCTAAAGAGATGCTTCGCTTGGCTGAAAGTGGTGAACTGCCGAATTTATTTTTCTCCATCTCCGATGAGAAAACATTCGTTGTCCAGCAGTTAGTAAACAAGCAAAATGATCGTTTGTACTCGCCAAAGAGTTCAGCTGGAAATGTGAACCTTCGGTTGGCCACCAGAACTAAAGGGGATGGTGTGGGCTGCCATAACAGCCGGTGGTCGCTTTCCGCTCGTATTTGTCGACCGTGGCATCAAAATAAGTGCCGAATATTACAGCGAAAATATTCTGAAGGGTGTATTAAAGCCTTGGTCACTCGAACATTTTGGCCGCAGACCTAAGACATTCCAACAGGACTCAGCAGCATCGCACTCAGCACGCGCCACCCAATAATGGTTACAAAATGGGGTTCATCGCTTCATTTCCAGCATACAATGGCCACCAAAATCTCCGGATACAAATCCGTTGTACTATTGTGTCGGGAGTATTTTGGAAAGGAAGGTTGGCATTAAAAAATTCCAATGTGCGGATCACCTCAAGCAAGCGCTTCGCCGGGAAAGGGGCAAAATACCGCAGATCAATATTCGGTCAGCGTGTGGCGGTTTTATTGGCATAATTCGTACCAAAGGTTACCAATTCCAACAAATCTAAACTTATTCTAACATTTGATGACATTACGATTTTCTGCTTTCACTCTATAAAATTTAAAAAAAAAAAATTAAAATGGTGGCGTTTGACTTTATCTCACCCTGTATAGTTTTTACCATATACAAAGGACTCTTATAGTTTGAGATATATTTTCTTGCATTTACGATATAGAATTGCAATTTGACAAAGACCTCTTTTATCACATCCAGAATCAATCCAGAATCCATTTTTTGGAATAGCTCCACCTAAGGATAATTCAAATAAAATGTTTTACGATACTTAGAAAAAACAATGTAGCTCCCATTTTTGGTACATGACAATACTAACCGAAAACTTTTGGAAAATTACTTAATTGGCATTTTTACATTAAAAAAAAATATATATGCATAGACGGTGAAACAAGACTGTTGCTTTTCTCAATAAAAATTTTTCCCTGAAGATGACTGTCAAAGACAGTCGAAATATCGGAAAATAAAAATCAAAATAATAAAAATAAAACACTGATGTTTTTCAATTGACCTTAAGCCAAAATAAAGTTAATAAGAATCAATATACAGGTCAACAATAAAAAACAACAACGTTTCCAGTTTTTTGAATTGATTTTCCCACTCACGAGACCTGCGAATCATATGCCTTAGTTGGCTCTCTTTCAAAATCTCATTACGTTTTTAAACCTGCGTTTTTATTTTATACTCAACAATATCCTACTGTTGTATCTCCTTTTTAATGTATACTCATATATGTCCTTAACATAAAACTCATATCATATTAAAAACAACATATATTAATTATTTTCTCCTTGTGCAAAAAAAAAATAAAATAATAACAATTAAAAAGTAATTAAAATCCAAATCCAAAACAAAAAAATGAAATGAAAAACAATTTTACCTTCGATAAAAAGTTTTGCGCTTTTCCAATTTATTCTCTTTATCCTTGAAGACATATCGCCGGATGCCGCTCAGATACGAACGAAAATAATCCGTCCAATTGATGGTGCTTATGTTGAATTGCAAATATTGTTTCTCTTTGCCCGTCAATAGTTCATCCAACTCGGTGACATTACGATTGGCAAATGACCAATGCTTGAGGCCGAACCAGGACATCATATAAATAATTTTGGTAATCTTTGCATAGGCCTTTATGTATCTGAAAAAGCAGAAAACGATAAAAATAGGTTAGCAGTAAAACTGGTTATGTGACAGAAAATGATGCCACTGGCCGAACAATTGAAGTGAATTTGAATGGTTGACAGAATGACTGGCTGGCCGGCCGGATGGCTCGATGGCAGACTCTATTGGTAAACTTACATGCGTTTTTGACCTGTAACTAGGGCAATTAAATCCAATATGTAGGCCGGCAAATGATGCAGTACAATGGAGGCAGCATAGTGTAATGGCTTCCATGGTATTATAATGTATGAAAAACACCTGGTCATCGAAAAAATGGCATCAGCATCATCATCAGCCACATCAGCAGGGAGAGAGAGAGAGGAAACAATGGAGTTTAAAAATGTCAAATTAAAAACAAAATTACGTGGGTATGGGTGACAATGCAGTTCACTATTCGTAGCTTTTTTAGTTGAGTATTTCAGAGAATTAAAAAATAAATTCATAGAAAATCTCACAGTTATGGTAATAGAGGGTCCATGATCAATAAGAATTGAACAAGTCTCAAAATGCTCTAGTAGACTGTGTAACACAAAAATCCAGCAGATTATGAACCTCCACCAGATTTTATACCCTCCACCATTTGGAAGAAACTTAAACAATTTAAAAAAAAAAAATCGTCGGAAAATACCGCTCAAATGAAAACGGTTACATGGGGACTATACGAAGACGTGTTCCTCCTCTAGCGAAAAAAGTACTCCTTGTAAGGATTTTCAGATAATTCCGTTGAAAATGTGGCTAAAATCACCCGAATATTGGGAGAAACCGTTATACCGTGTACCGTGTACCCATATAGACACCGTGTACCGTGTACCGTGTACCGTGTACCCATATAGACAATTCTCTTCCAGGGGGTAATGTGCTCACAAAGAACTCCTATTGTGGATTTTAGACAATTCTATTGAAAAACTTGCGTGAAATCACCAAAGTACCGAATATCAGGGGTATCGTGGACCGATATTGATGATTCTCTTTCAAAGTAAAAATGTTTTATTTTTCCCCTGGTAATTTAACCCGTTTTCACTGCAAATCAAAATCTCCTTTTATAAAATAATTTTTGGAGAGAGTGTTAAAGGAAGAATTATTATAAGTCTCTCAGCCAAAGAAATTCCTATATTAATTTTCGTTATTTTTTGCAAAACTTAGCACTTTTTCTAAATTTCCTGCAAAATCTCAGTCTGTGTTGGGGAAAGTCCAAGTAGACCTGATAGTACTCATTTGGAAACCAAAAACCCAAATGAGTTTCTGTTTCTTAAGGCTCTTATGTAGATTAGGCCACATACATAATTTTACGTTTTGACCGCGTTTAAAATTAATTTCGACAAATTTTGAAATTAAAAAAAAACACATTTTCAACACGACAAACTTTTAAAACCCTCCACAATTTTAAAGAATTTTGAAAATTTACCATAAAAATTTTGTCGAAAAATACTGGTCAAAGGAAAACCGTTATATGAGGGCTATATGAAGACGTGCATGGGTTAAAGTACTCGGAAGGAACTCCTCGTGTCTACTTTTAGACAATTCCATTGGAAAATGTGGCTAAAATCATCAATGTACCGAATATCGGAGGTATCGTTACATGGGGGCTATACGATATCTTTGACCCATATAGCCCATCTTCAAACTTGACCTGTCTGCAGACAAAAGACTGATCTGTGCAAAAGTTTAGCTTCCTATCTTAATTCGTTTTGAGTCTTGCGTGATTGCAACAGACGGACAGGGCTAAATCGTCTTTGGTTGGTCTAAAATTAAATATTTAACGATAAGTTACAAACGGAATGACAAACTAAATATACCCTCCATATTGTGTATGCTCACAGTTATAAAAAAAATTCAATCCAAATTCAGCATTAGACATAGGATTTTTGCCAATTACGTACTCAAACGATTTTGCCAAACTTAGATCGAGTTCGGAGATGGGCAATATCGGTCCACTCCTTCTGGTACCTCCCCCACAAAAGGTCGAAATTTTCAAAAAAATATATTTTCTGCACAGAAAGATCAACGACAATCCGAATTTGCTCCAACTTTGCAAATCCTAATATTTGCGCCAATGCTACGTCAGGTGCGAAAATGGACAATACCGCCCCCACAAAGGGTCAAATTAATTAATTATTACAACTCTTATAAAATGTGATGTAAGAGTCCGACTGTCTTCAAATTTCACACATCTTTATGTTTTATGAGCCCAAGGTCTGGTGCTTTCCCCACAAAAGGTCGAAATTTTAAATATCCATTAAGCTCATAAAACGCGAAATTAACATCCGATTCTCTTAACCAAAACGTTTATAAAATCCGAAATAAGCATCAAGTATTTTTATATTTCACACAGCCCATTATTTCTACTAACACAAGATCTGTTGTGAAGATGGGATATATCGGTCCACTCAGCCTGATACCTCCCCCATGAAGCTCATAAAAACAAAATTAACATCCGATTCCATTCCAGACTTGGTTTAGCTCATTATTTCCATCAACACAAGATATGTTATAAAGATGGTGAAGATCGGACCCTTTCTTTTGCTACCTGCAACACATAGGTTTCAAGATGTGGAAAAACAAATTTTACACATACAAAGATTTTTGCTGATACAATATCTGTTGTGAAGATGATGTATTCGAACCCCTTTTGGTACCTCACCCACAAAAGCGGCATAATTTCCAATAATTTTATTTGTCATAACTTGCGAAGCATGTCAGCGATTCTTTACAAATTTCTATTTGAATATATCCCTCTTAACCAGAAACATGAGACTAATGTGGAATTTTTATATGCCCATACCAAAAATTTTATTTTTATTAAATGAAGTATGAAAATTGAATATTTCGATCGATTATATTTATATTATTCTTTCAAAACCCACTCCATAAAGGGTCAAGAGTTTGAATAATCATAACAGAAGTCAAAATCAATTTAAATAATCGAACAGTATTTTTTTAAATTTCGACCTTTTGTGGGGGATGTACCCATCTCTGAACTCGATCTAAGTTTCATAATAATATTATGATGTACCAAGTTTAGACTAAATCGGATATTCCCTTCGAGAGTTATCGTGTGCATCAGCCAGACATACAGACAGACAGTCGGACGGACGGACACCGCTAGATCAACTCCAATGTCCCAAGACGGATATGGTCCAAAGACACCTAGGATCTTAAACGATTATTTTGATGAGGTACGTTTTGGCCGTATCAAATGATATATGCCCTCTCTAGTCATATGGTTGAGCATATAATGACATCTACCGCTTTCAGTAACTTAGGAAATTTATATGCTTTCCCCAGTCAAATAACTTGTTCGCGAACTTACTAAATATATAACTTCTCTTTGCAAAAATTGTCAATATGAGTCCACTTGCACATCGGAGTTTTCACACCCAATGTATTCGCACACTGTAGGGTACAAATAAGCTGATCAAGCTTGCACACGTAGTAGCAGTAATAGCATATTAAAACTCACAACGACAAAAATATGAAAATCTATTCTGGATTTTGTTTGTTTATAAGTGTATTTTGGTCCACACACACACACACAAACACCATGTGTACATTGGTGTGTGAGTGTGTGTCCTAAAGTTTGTGTGATGTTATCGCTGACCATTATTTGTTATGGCTTGATTTTTGGCATTTTTGAGAGTGTTTGCGGAATATCTAAATGACGATGTATCGGTTTTAGATTCAATCGATATAACATTGCAGATAAAATTACTGGCCAAAAAAAAAGAACAACAACTTTTGCCAAGTATTTTCATTGTTAGTTATTATTGGCAGCGTTTAGAGATGATTTAGCATAAAAATGGCTGTTGTTTTGTTCAAAATGGAGTTGCAAAAATTGGAGACAAAAATGTTAAAATTTTGGAAGTTACTCCGTCCTTTAAAACGACGTAATTAAAAGAAACCTAATTTTTAAAACCTACAAATTTCGAGAATTTAAAACCACACCAAACATAATTCGGAATTTGGCGTAAAAAAAAAAATAACAAGTAAAAAAGCTGTAAGTTCGGCCGGGACGGATTTTGAATTACCTCCACCATTTAGAACGAATTTGGCAATTTTCAAAAAAAAAAAAAACAGTAAAGAAAGTCTTAAAGTCGGGCGGGGCCGACTTTATGATACCCTACACCACTTTGCTAATTTAGTAGAGCTCCACATAACAATTAAAAGTTTTTATAGGAGAATTCAATCATATACGCTATGATTATAATTATAATTTAAAATTCAAAGGAATATATATGCCGAAGCATTTGTATCTTTTAAATTCGGACTTGTATTGACCATTTGGTGCACAATTAATTTGAAATCGGATAAATATATATATGGGAGCTATATCCAAATCTGAACCGATCTCGATAAAATTTGGCAAAGATATTTCTGAGCTTTATTTGATATATTTCCCTGAATATTGTTGTTACGAAGTGCATATTATGGTTGTGGGTAACAAATATAACAAATCGGATGAATAATATATATGGAGGCTATAGCTATATCTGAACCGATCTTCACCAAATTTGACATACTAGCTTCTAGACTCAATTCGGTTGTATGTGCCAAATTCCATCCCATTTGGACAAATATTAGACGTTTGGTGCACAATAAAAGGTAAATCGGACGAAGTTATATATAGGAGCTATATCCAAATCTGAACCGATCTCGATAAAATTTTGCAAATGTATTCCTGAGCTGTATTTGATATATTTCCCTAAATATTGTTGTTGCAGAATGCATATTACGGCGGCGGTGGACAAAAATAACAAATCGGATGAACAATATATATGGGAGCTATAGCTATATCTGAACCGATTTCGATCAAATTTGGCACAAATATTTTCAGGCCTAATTTGGTTGTATGTGCAAAATTCCATACAATTCGGGCTGATATTACACGTTTGGTGCACAATAAAAGGCAAATCGGACGAAGATATATATGGGAGCTATATCTAAATTTTGACCTTGGGCCAAACAAATGATCTGTGCAAAATTTCATCTGGATCGGGCAATAAATGCGACCTGTACTTTGTTTACAAAAATACATGGACAGACGGACAGACGGACGGACGGACATGCATATATCGACTCAGAATGTGATTCTATGCAGATCATCAAAAGGAACTATGGGTTACAAACAAATGCACAAAGACATAATACCCTGACCACCTTGTGGTGTAGGGTATAAAAAAATAAATAAATAAAATAAAATAAAACCCGTATTCTGTAAAAAATTAAAAAATACCAAATGTAGCTATAATGTTAGGGACGTGGGCCTGCATAGGCAACATTTGTCATAAGCTATTAAAATATTGAAATGCGAAACTTGAAAAAAAAAAATCGGTGAATAATGTAGCTAAAACCATCAATATAGGGAGGTACTTTTATATGGGGGTTATAATTAAATGTGGACCTGCACAGACAAGTTTCTGCCTAAGATTGCAGTATCCATTACGAACTTCAAATATCAAATTTGAAACAACTCCGATGAATAATGTCGCTAAAATCATCAAAATACTGGATATCGGGAGGTGCCTTTATATGGGGCTTTTCGAAGACGTGGACCTGCACAGATAACTTTCTGTCTTAGGCTGTAGTATCTATTACGATCTTCAAATACCAAATTTGAAACAATTCTGGTGAATAATGTCGCTAAAATGATCAATATACCGAATATCGGGTGGTACCGTTCTATAGGGGGCTATACGAAGACATGGACCTTCATAGACAATTTTCTGTCTTAGGCTGTAGTATCCATTTCGAACTTCAAATACCAAATTTGTAGTATCTATTACTTATTATCTATTATTCCGGTGAATATTGTCGCAAAAATCATCAAAATACCGAATATCGGGAGGTACCGTTATATGGGGGCTATACGAAGACGTGGACCTACATGGCCCATTTTAAATATCAAACGTCTTGCAGGCATAATAAACATTTGAGTAAAATTTTATCAATCTACTTCATTTCGTTCGGAAGGTAGTGTGATTTCCACAGACGGACAGGCGAACATACGAATAGACGGAAGGACATTGATAAATCTACATAGAATTGTATGCTGATCAAGAAGTATATACTTTGTGGGGTCTAATGTGTTTTGAGGTTTTACAAACGGAATGACAAACTTAATATACCCTCCGTACTATGGTGGAGGGTATAGAAATACCTATCTGAATAGAAAATGCGAACATCAAAACTTACCACAACACTTTTTCGAATGGTTCGTGAAAACCTTTGCGTGATAAATGCATATATTGACCCCATGTCAAATTGTTGCGTTCAAATATGTAATTGTAAACAGGTAGCTCTCGCCGGTGATCTTTGTCAATTTTCGACAACTCATATCTGCAAAAGAGTAATATTTTCTTTTACTCAGTAATTATAAGATCAATTTATTTCTTCCTACCTCCTGGCAACATCCCAGGCACATGATATCATAGCATTGACACAATAATCTGCCGGTACCATATTCGCCTTACATTTGGCATTTCCATAAATACATCGAACCAAACCTCTGGCAGACCATGTGCACAATCCAGAGGGACCATAAAGGTTATCCGTCCACCCGGGTATGGGATCTTGATATGTTGACATGACTGAAAAGTGAAAAAGAACGGGAACTTAAAAAATGGAAAATATATACTAAGATAACCTCTTATAATGCATTTGAAAATATTTCCAAATATATATGTTACAAATTATTATACCCTACAACACTATGTATTGGGGGTATTATAAGTTTGATTGGGCCAAAAATTATGTAACACCACGAAATATTGATTTCCCACATACGAAAGTATATGGATCTTCCTATCTCGCCGAGCTGAGTCGATCTAGCTATGTATGTCCGTCCGTCCGTCTGTCCATATTAATTTGTAATCAAGCTACAGGTCGCAATTATGAACCGATCCTCACGAAATTGAAAATGGAGGTGGGGTTATGGTCAGAATAGAACCCTATTGTTTTTGGAATTGATCGCACGATATCTAGGGGTTGAAATGGACCAAAAACAGAAAAATTTCCTGATTTTGCAGTTGCTGTGTAGGCCACAATTATGAACCAATCGACGCGAAAATTAATATGGAGTTAGAGTTTAGAAGTGGGCCGAAATTAGCTCGTAAAATAGACCCAAACTTTTATGTAAGAAAATAGGAAAATGTCCACCAAAACGCGAATATTTTCAATCCCAGCCAAATCAAAAATACATTAAAATATCACTTCTGACCATTACAGTGATGCTCATAGTCAAGAAATCGGATATATAGAAGAATGGGTACAATATATATGTAAAAGAATTTATCTTATTTATTCTGCTTATAAATCAAGAACCGCTGGGCCGATTTTCACAATTCCCATCAATTCGGAATGGTCTCTTGCCACAAAACGATAAAATCTAAAAAAATACCAATAAAAGAGTGAATATCATTTGTCGATTTTTTCAATTGTTGTCATATTTTTTATCGCATGCAATTTTTTCAATTTGACTTACAATTTTGAATTGAAACTTTTCTAAATTTTTACACCCCCCAAAACCACGTTTTGAGGGCATTATATGCATATCGCAATTATCGTCCGATCCTCACGAAATTTTGCAGGGGGGTAGGGTTAGGGTCAGAATAGAAGCCCATTGTTCTTAAGATGTACATTTAGAAGTGCAAATGGACTAAACAATTTTTTTTTTTTTAATTTTGTAGTCGCTCTATGGGCCACAATTGAAAACTAATCGACGCGGAATTTCGAATCAGAAGAGAGTTAAGGACAGGGAAGATGTCTGGCATTTTGGATGACCATTGGATTTTATTTAGATGTAAATGACATGGTCGGCCCCGCACGACTATAGCCTTTGCTTACTTGATTTAACAATACTTTTACTTTCTAACAATCTTAAATATGTTCAAAACATTGAAATTACCGAATATTGGGATGTACCGATGTATGAAAATAAGACAATTTTTTGGCAGATGGTTTGGTTACCACAATGTGCATCAATAAATAAAATTTAAACCAGAATCAAAATGCCAGAATTGTAAACAATTTCATTAAAAATATGGCTAAAATCTTCATAATATAGAATTTCGGACGGTAATGAAACGGGGATCTATATACAGGTTGAGATAGAAAAAATTGTAACAAAGTCAAACGCCATAATTTTTACATTTTTTTTAAATTTTGTCGAATGAAAGCAAAAAATGTGGGAAATAGCACCAACTTTTAAAATAAGTTTAGATTTGTTTGAATTGGTCACCTTTGGCACGAATTATGGCACTCAAACGGTCAATGAAACTGTCACACGCTGCCCGAATGTTGCTCTGCAGTATTTTGGCCTATTCCCGACGAAGCGTTTGCTTGAGGTGATCGATACTTTGGTATTTTTTTGTGCCAACCTTGCTCTTCAAAATACTCCAGACACAATAGTCCAACGGATTGGTATCCGGATATTTTGGTGGTCAATGTGCGCTGGGAATGAAGCGAGCAACCTTATTTTGTAACCATTCGTGGGTGGTGCGTGCTGAGTGCGATGGTGTTGAATCCTGTTGACATGTCCAAGGTCTGCGGCCCAAATGTTTGCGTACCCAGGCTTTAATACACCCTCCAGAATACTTTCGCGATAATATTCGGGATTTATTCTGATGCCCCGCCCCACCATTACCATGGCCGGCGTTTTTGAGTTCTGGTGGCCAACCGAAGGAACACATTTTGAGCTGACCTCTTTGGCAAGTAAACACCGCCATTTTTTTTTGTTTACAAACTGCTGGACAATGAATGTTTTCTCATCGGAGAAAACCAAATTCGAGAGTTCTAGACTTTCCACCAAGCGAAGCAACTCTTTAGCTCTTTTGTGTCTATTTTCTTTCTTTTATGGTGTAAGTTCTTGCACTTTTTAGAATTCCAATGGCTTTACCCCGAGCTCATTTTTCAATACTTGCCAATTGGAATATTGCGATATGTTCAGCTCACGAGCCATTTGTCGGCCATTTCTGCTGATATTGCTGTTTTCTTTCGTTCACTTCCTTGACGTCAGGCTACGTTACCAGTATCACGGTAACGGTAACGAGCGATGGTCCAAGACACAAAATATTTATTCACATTTATATGCTGGAGTGCTCTAAAGATAGCCACTTGTGGTTTTCCAGCCAAATATAAAGAAATCGCACTATCACGCTTGAATTCTATCACGAATAACTTTTTTTCTGGAAAATTCTCATCAAAATGCCTTTGTACGCTTGTAAACAATATAATGAGCTATCACTGGAAACATTTTAACAGATGTCGGACGAGTGGCTTAAAAATGACAGCAGTCTGAAGTTGGTTGCAGTTTTTTCATCTCACCCTGTAGTTTCTACCATAACAAAAGGGACGCCATTAGTTTGAGATATATTTCGCATCATTCAGGATCGCATTTTAAAATTTGATAGAGATCTTTGAATCACATCTATAACCAATGACGCAGAAAATAGGTTATATGATCGGTCTACATTTTTCGACAAAAAGAATCCACAAACAAAATAATTTATCTGCAGAATTTTAAAACACTATATGCCCAAAATCAATGGATTCCATGGAATCCTAATACGAAAATTTCAAGAAACATGGGATGGGGCAGAATTTGCACCTTCCATTTATGCTACTTTGCGATGTAATCTTTTAAAACGCTGAAATGTATTATTTCTGTAAATAACTATTTATAATTTTTTAACAAAAGTTTTCGGCTATTTCCATTTCTACTAAGCCTTCCGAATATGAGTTAATTTAAACTGAGAGATATGTCTGAAGAAAAAGCTTAAAAAATTACAATTTACTAACGAAATTAAACCTGTAACGGGTTTCTTTTTTGGTATATTGATTGATTGTGGGCTAAATTCCAGGATTCAATATTTTTTGTAAGCGGAGATTCAGGGTTTCGTTTTTTAGGAGGTCACTGTTGAGAACCATCCATTGGTGGTAGCCATGATATTCCTCTTCATTTCTTCTATTTTCAAACAGAGATGTTACTTTTCCTTTTTGTATTCAAATGACACAAAAAACTTTGCCTTGGTTTATCTATTTACATCTTTTGCAGTGATTCTCCCTCGGCATGCTCTAGCTCTATACACTCCTGCTAAATAGCAAAGTTCACATTTTTTTAGCCATTGCTGTACTAACTTACATTTTAGGTATAAAGACATTTGTTGAACCGAAAAAATATGTGTGTGCGTACACTGAGGAAATATTCCCTAAAGCCAAAACTAAATTTTGAGGGATTTTTACAATACAATGACCACGCTCTCTATAAATATAAATATTTAAGTTGTATAAGCTATTAATGTGGTGACTATAAACAAGAGTTCGACAGCGAGATTTTCAAAAAAAAAAAAAAAATCTTTTCAATAATACTGATAAAGTCATAAAAATATAGATCGATTAGGGAGTTACCGTTATATAGGGATATATAGGGACCAATATGTTTCATAGACCATTACGATATTCAAACTTGAAAGGATTGCGGTACATAATGTCGCTAAAATCATCAAAAAACCGAATATAGGGAGGTACCCTTATATGGGCGCTATACGACGACATGGACGTGCATATTGAATTTTCTGTCATAGACTGTAGTACATTAGGAACTTCAAATACGAAATCGTCAAAATACCGCCTACCAAATTTCAAAGATCTATCCTAAATACTGCGAAAAATATGTCAAGGGTACCATTATAGATGGAGAAAACTATAAGAGAGCCTTCACCTAATTTGACTAAAGAACACAGACTTGCTTTGGGGTTTTGATTTAAAAACAAGTACTCTTGACATTTTCCACAACCCATACTGGCTATTGTTCAGTGAAATTATAAGAAAATTTGTAGGGATTTAGAAAAACAAGTAAAAAAACATTAAGTTCCGCCGGGCCAAATTTTCATACACTCCACCTTAGGATAAAGTAAACATTAGAGCATATTTACCAAATTTTAGACATATTCATGGGAAAATGTGCCAAAAGTCATCAAAATACCGAATGTCGGGAAATTCGGCTATATGGGGCTATACAAAAACGTGGACCTATACATACAGTTTTTCGCCAGAAGAGCTAGAACCCATTAAGACCAACAAATACCAATTTCTAGACAAATCCGCGAAGAAATGTGGCAAAAACCATTAAAATACCGAATATCGGGAGGTACCGTTGTATGGGTGCTATACCAAATCGGAGATCAATAAATGCAATATTTCGCCAAAGGAGCTAGAACCCATTATGACCTACAAATACCAATTTTCAGACAAACCCGTGAAAAAATGTGGCAAAAATAATCAAAATACCGGATATTGGGAGGTACCTTTATATGGGAGCTATACCAAAGCGTGGACCTATACATGCAATATCTCGCCACACAAACTAGGACCCGTTATGACCTACAAATACCAATTTACAGTCAAATCCGTGAAAAATTGTGGCATAAATCATCAAAATACCGAATATCGGGAGGTACCGTTATATAGGGGCTTTACCAAAACGTTGACCGATATATCTCTTTTTCAATACCAATCATCCTAGACACAATACAAATTACTCTGCTGAATTTTGGCGCTCTAAGTCAAATAATGTGGGCTGTATCGTGATTTCAACAGATAGACAGACGAACCGACCGACAGACTGACATCGTTAAATTGACTTAGAATTTAATGCTGATTATGAATATATATACTTTATGGGGTCTACGATGAATATTTAAGGATGTTACAAACGGAATGACAAAGTTATATACCCTCCTTTCCAAGGTGGAGGGTATAAAAATCTAAATTTTTAAGAAATAAATAAAGTGTTTATACCCTACACCACATGTGGTAATTATACCCTACACCACATAGTGGTAAGGGTATTATGTCTTTGTGCATTTGTTTGTGACTTGGAGGAGGAAACGAGATAGACCCATAGTTCCTTTTGGTGATCAGCATAGAATCACATTTTGAGTCGATTTATGCATGTCCGTCCGTCTGTCCGCCCGTCCTTGTACTTTTGCAAAAAAAAAAATGCAGGTCGCATGAGATGAAATTTTCTAAATATCATTAATTTGGCTCAAGGACGAACCTTATTGAAATTTTTGAAAATCGGTCCAAATTTAGATATAGCTCCCATATATATTTTCATCCGATGTTGTTGTTTTAGTCCCTTACATTCGTAACATATACATACAAGACTGATATTTAGTACCAGATATTAGATTCAGCCCAGCAATATATGATTCAAATTTTATCAAGATCGGTTCAGATTTGGATATAGCTCCCCTATATATCTTCGTCCGATTTAAGGTTTCATGTCCACCAAATGGCAAATTTCAGCCCAAAGTGAGTGAAAAGTTGCAATTCCGAGCGAAAACTTGGTGAAAATCGGTTCAGATATAGCTCTAGCTCCATATATGTTTCATTCGATTTGGTGTTTAAATCTCCAACTTTCGGAATATGCACTCTACCATAATCATATTTTGTACCAGATATCTCATAGAGCTCAGAAATGTCCAACATAAACCTTTCTTTTACGAGAGCTCTACTAAATATGCATAGAGGTGTAGGGTATCATATAGTCCTTACTAGTTTATTAACAAAAATTATTGCTTTTTATACCCTAAGACATGTGGCTAGAGACGGTATATATCATTTGATACGGCCAAAACGTGCCTCATCGAAATAACGGTTTTAGACCTAGGGCCTCTTAGGATCCAATCCGTCGTAGGACATTTGGAGGCGATATAGCGATGTCCGTCGTTCTGGCTGGTGCGCACGATAACTCTGAAAGGGAATATTCGATTTGGTTCAAACTGGGTACTTCATAATATTATTATCAAATTTAGATCGAGTTCAAAGATGGCCAATATTGGTCCAATCCTTCTGATATCTCCCCCAAAAAGGATCGAAATTTTCAAAAAATATTTTACTGCCCAGAGAAGGGGGGGATATCCCGATTTTAACTTTTCAAATCCTAATATTTGCATCAGTGCTATGTCAGGTGCAAAAATGGGCAATGTCGGTCCACTCCTTCCGGTACCTCCCCCAAAAAGTGTCAAAATTTTAAATATCCATGAAGCTCATGAAAAGCGAAGTTATCATCCGAACATCTGTTAGAAAGATGGTAGAGATCCGTTTCTTCTGGTACCTCCTCAACATTGAGTTCTGGATTTTGAAAAACAAAACGCTCAAAGAAAGCGAAATTAGCATTAAATTCTCTTCAAATTTCGCACATACTAACATATTTGCTAACACAAGATCTTTTGTGAAGATGATATATATCTGCGAACTCCTTCTGGTACATCACCAACAAAGGGTCATAGTTCTGAATAATCAAAACGATTTTAAAATCCCAACTAAGCATCCGGTCTCTACATATCGCATATCCAATTATTTCTACTACCAAAATATTTTTGTGGAGATGGGAATTATCAATCCACTCCTTCTGATACCTCTCCCACAAAGGGTTAAATTTTTGACTACCCATGAAGCTCATAAAATGCGAAATTAACATTCGATTTCATTCAGACCTAGTACATCTCAATATTTCCATCTACACAAGATCTGTTATAGAGATAGTAGAGATCCGTCCATTTCTTCTGGTACCTCCCCCATATAGGGTTCATTATTTTGAAAAACAAAACTCTTAAAGAAAGCGAAATAAGCATCCAACTCTCTTGAAATGTCACACATCCAAATTTTTTTGTTAAAGCAGAATCTGTTGTGAAGATGACATATATCTGTCCACCCCTTGTGGTACCTCACCCACAAAGGTTCACAATTTTTATACCCTCCACCATACTATGGAGGGTATATTAATTTCGTCATTCCGTTTGTAACTCCTCGAAATACTCATGTCAGACCCAACAAAGTACATATATTCTTGATCAGCGTAAAATTCTAAGACGATTTAGCAATGTCCGTCTGTCTGTCTGTTGTAATCACGCTAGCATTCAAACAAATTGAGATAGAACGCTAAAATTGTGCACACATATATATTTTGCCAGTAGGCAGGCTAAGTTCGTAAATGGGCCACGTAGGTCCAAGTTATCATATAGCCCCATATAACGGTATCTCCCAATATTCGGTATTTTGATGATTTTAGCGACATTATTCGCCGGAATTGTTTCAAATTTGGTATTTGAAGTTCGTAATGGATACTTCAGCCCATGCCAGAAAATTGTCTGTGCCGGTCCACGTCTTCGTATAGCCCCCATGTATCGGTACCCCCCATATTCGGTATTTTGATGATTTTAGCTACATTATAAACACATTTTTCTTCAAGTTTCGCATTTAAATATTGTAATAACTTATGACAAAAGTTGCCTATGCAGGCCCAGGTCGTCGTATAAGCATTCGGTATTTTTAAGATTTTAACAGAATTTTTTTTTGAAATTGCCAAATTTGTACCAAATGGTAGAGGGTATTAAAAGTTCGGCCCGGCCGAACTTACAGCTTTTTTACTTGTAAATATCTTTATCCGTCATAACTTGCTGTATCAAAAAATTTTTCTCAACGTGAAACCTGAGATGAATTTGTCACTTATCGGACTTTTATAATTTCGCTTAAAATTGGATCTAAATATTTGATTTCCTTCAAAGTTCGCACATACCATTTTATCTGTATTAGACGAAGTATGCAAATGGAAAACTTCCTTCCGCTATATTTCATACCTCTCGCATATTTAAACATTTTCCAAAAATTTTAACATGTCTCATATAAAGTATAGAAAGTTGTCGATATATTCCAAATCTGGTAAATTGTAATATTAATATTAGTCAGATACGAAATGGTTAATATTGGCCAACTGCTTCGGATTCTCCCTCATTAAGGGTTAACAATTCGAATAATCATAACTCAAGGCTAGGGGGTATACATCTGTCGGCAAAACTGCCTGATACTATCTTAATTGGTTAATTCCACTTTCATAATCTGCCGGACTTTCCTCGAAGTTATTAAAAACATTGACATTTGTCCCACAGTGCTATTATTTACGCTAGCCCCTACTTTTCTTCCAGTGTTAATTTTCAAAGTTTTGTCCAAATGTTACTATCAGCCACTGGGACACCAGTTTAGTAACTAATGCACTTGTTATATGGTTCTCTGCTTTGCACTTTTGTATTTGACAAACAAACAGCTAAAACAACAACAACAGCAAGAACTACAACAACGACCACGGCAACATCAACTGTTACAAAAATGTGCAAAATGGTAATTTTTTATTAACTCGAGATGCTTTTAAACATTCGTGTTCGTTTTTTTTATCCTCTACTTGTTTTTTTTGTTGTTGTTGTTATCACAACTAAAACCATTAACTGACTATTTGAAAGTTCTATTAAGTTGAGGGTATGTATATCTCTGTGTGTGTGTGTGAGAGTGTATAATTGCCTTTGGGAAATAGCAACTAAAGTTTTTCCTCATCTCTCGTTTAAAACGAAGGCAGACAAGGACATACCAACTCCGGTCCTAAGAGTATTAAAAACCGTTTGCCAGTCTTTCTTTAACATAAGCTTACCAATTGGTGGTCGAAATATTCCGGCTGGCAAATGAAACGCTTTGTGGTTAACCAGATTCTCTGCACATTTCTTGGTCATGGTGTAGGTATTTGGCATCTCTCCAATTAGACAAGGACGAAACTTTTCCAGGGTCTCATCATCAAATATGCGAGAAATCTGCAAATGGATTGAGGATTGAATTTCGTCACTTTAACCATGTGTTGGGTTAACAATTTAGTGGACCCCTCTCATTTCCACAAACATTACCTGCATTATTTTTTCATAGCCAATTTCCGTTTCGTAAACTTTCTCTTTGATGTGTTTCCGGTTGCAGTTGCAGTAGAGCGTTGAAATGTGAACAAATGACTGGAATGGAATTAGTTTTGTTTTTTTATATTTTCGACCATGTCTATCAATATTTTTTTCGTGTATTTACCTTTAAATGTTTCATTTCCATAGCCAGATCCAAAATCTTATTTGTTCCCAGCACATTGATGCCGATGGCATCGCTTAGTTTTTCATTGAACTTCACCGAGGCGACAACATTGAAAACAATCTGTGAAATGAAATGAAACAAAAACAAAACTCAATACTCAACATAATGTATATTTTTTTTGTTTTTTTATTTGTGTTTTTTTTCAGTAAAACATATGTATTCACTTGTATGTGTATGTATGTTACAATCGACATACACTCATACCATCCACGCCATGCCATGCCTTTTATTGACTGAATGTCTCTCTGAAATTCATTTATTTGTTCGCTGCAGTTTTACCAAAGAATGCTTGTATTTCAATTACGAACATATCAGAAAACTTGTCAACATTCGCGTTTGTATTCATCAATTTGAATATTTACATTGTTTGTTGTTGTTGTTTTTGTTCGTTCTGTAGTTTTCAAATCAGAAAATTCAATAGCAAATCATTTTACAGATTAACAAACGACGGAGTCGACATTGTAATGTACTATGGGAAGAGTATTTTTGGATACCAAACAATACAGGGTGAGATGAAAATTTTCAGACTGCTGTCATTTCTACGGCACTGGAGAACTTTCCAAAAAAAAAAAATGGAAATTCTAGAGTGATAGTGTGATTTCTTTATATTTGGCTGGAAAGCCACAAGTGGCTATCGTTGGAGCTCTCCAGCATTTAAATGTGAATAAATGCCAAAAAATGGCTCGTGAGCTGAACATACCGCCACAATCCATTTGGCAAATATTGGGAAATGAACTCGGGATAAAGCCATTGAAATTCCAAAAATGCAAAAACTTACACCGCAACAGAAAGAAAATAGACACAAAAGAGCTAAATAGTTGCTTCGCTTGGCCAAAAGTTGTGAACTGCCGAATTTGGTTTTCTCCGACGAGAAAACATTCGTTATCCAGCAGTTTGTAACAAACAAAATGATCGTGTTTATTTGCCAAAGAGGTCAGCTGAAAATGTGCACCTTCGGTTGGCCACCAGAACTCAAGCGCAGGCCATGGTGATGGTGTGGGCCGCTATAACAGCCGATGGTCGGATCAGAATAAATGCCGAATATTATCGCGAAAATATTCTGGAGGGTGTATTAAAGCCTTGGGCAAGCAAACATTTTGGCCGCAGGCCTTGGACATTCCAACAGGACTCAGCTCGCGCCACCCAAGAATTGTTACAAAATGAAGTCCATCGCTTCATTTCCAGGGCACAATTGCCACCAAAATCTTCGTTGGACTATTGTGCCTGGAGTATTTTGGAAAGCATGGTTGGCACTAAGCGCTTCGCCGGGAATGGGCCAAAATACCGCAGACCGTTGTTCGGCAGCGTGTGACGGTTTCTTTGGCCGTTTGAAGGCCGTAATTCATGCCAAAGGTGACCGATTCGAACAAATCTAAACTTATTCTAATGCTATTTCCGACATTGTTTGCTTTCATTCAATAAAATTTAAAAAAGTAAAAATTATGGCATTTGTCCTTGTTGCATTTTATTAAATCTCCCTGTATGTTTATGAAGCTCAGATCGAGTGCAGAGATGGACAATATCGGTTCACGCTTTTTGGTACATCTCTTACAAAAGAAAGATATTTTGCAAAAAAAAATTAAATCTTACATTGAGCGACGGGAGTACCTGGCTTAGTTCAAACTTCTTACCTGTACCTCCCTATAAAAGGTCACAATTTTGAATAACGGTGTGAAAAATTAATGTTCGCCTTTCATTAACTTTTCTCATTCCCATATTCTTGTCTCTATTCGAGTTATCGAGTACCCGGAATAGCCTAAACTTGATTCGCATTAATATTTATATTAACGTTCGGTCAGAAACGATCATGACATATATTGGCCTACTTCTTCACAATAAATAATAACAAGTAAAAAAGCTGTAAGTTCGGCGGGGCCGAACTTTGAATACCCTCCACCATTTGGAATAAATTTGGCAAATCTTAAAAACAATAAAATCCCTTAAAAATTCTGTTAAAATCTTAAAAGTACCGAATGTAGCTGTAACATTAGGGGCTATACGACGACATGGACCTGCATAGGCATTGTCAGAAGCCATTACAATATTCAAATGCGAAAATTAACAAAAAAAAAAAAAAAATGGTGAATAATGTAGCTAAAATCATCAAAATACCGAATATCCGGTCTTAGGCTGAAGCATCCCTTATGAACTAAAAATACCAAATTTGAAAAAATTCCGATGAATATTGTCGCAAAAATCATCAAAACACCGAATATCGGGAGGTACCGTTATATGGGGGTTATACGAAGACGTGAACAGAACAGACAATTTTCTGTCTTATGCTGTAGCATCCATTGTGAACTTCAAATACTAAATTTGAAACAATTCCGGTGAATAATGTCACTAAAATCATCAAAATACCGAATATCGAGAGGTACCGTAATATGGGAGCTATACGAAGACGTGGACCTGCACAAACAATTTTCTGCTTTAGGCTGCAGTATTCATTTCGAACTTCAAATACCAAATTTGAAAGAATTCGGGTGAACAATGCCGCTAAAATCAACAAAGAACCGAATATCGAGAGGTATCGTTATATAGTGGCTATACGAAGTCGTTGACTTGCACAGACAATTTTCTGTCTCCGGCTGCAGCATCCATTTCGAACTTCAAATACCAAATTTGAAACAATACCGGTGAATAACGTCGCTAAAATCATCAAAATACCGAATATCGGAAGGTACCGCTATATGGGGGTTATACGAAGACGTGGACCTGCATAGACAATTTTCTGTCATAGTCTGTAGTATTCATTTCGAACTTCAAATACCAAATTTAAAAGAATTCCGGTGAACAATGTCGCTTAAATCAACAAAGAACCGAATATCCGGAGCTACCGTTGTATGGGACTATACAAAGAGGTGGACCTACATGGCCCATTTTCAATACCAAAAATCCTACAGACATAATATGCATTTGAGTAAAATTTTATCAATCTACTTCAATTTTGTTCGGTAGCTAGAGTGATTTCCACAGACGGATAGACGGACGGACATCGCTTAATCGACATAGAATTTTATCCTGATCAAGAATATATATTCTTTGCGGGTCTAAAATTTATATATCGAGGTGTTACAAACGCAATGACAAACTTAATATACCCTCCATACTTTGGTGAAGGGTATGAAAAAATTAGATTTCCTTCACACGTTATATATGCAAATTAGACGCTATTAGATCGAAGATCCCGATTTCGCTTCAAACTTCGCATATTTCAAAATAATTCCTCATTTAAAAATTATATACATTTGGAATAGAACAGGCTTGTTTGTTCGGGATACCATACTATTTTGTTGTTGGAAAATGGAAAGGCTTAATTCCTTTTGGATAATTCCCTTTTGGAATATGTAGTCAAATTCTGAAGGTATATATATACGTAGAAACACCGATTGAAGCTTTCTAATATGTTTTTGTTTTCTGCGGTATATAAAGGGTGAAGATTAAATATTTTCCGTTAATATATGTAAATCTTCGGAGAACCAACAGTTTTATTCGAACTTCCTATAAATGTATCGAAAGTTTTGGCAGTCAGTCGTTCAGGCAATCCTCTCAAATTTGGGTAGGGTATTTGATGAAGACTTCATTCCATTATATATTTACAATTTTAACTGTTCCACAGACATCTTTACATTTGTTCTGTACCACTACTACTACTACTAGATAATGCCATGTACATGTGAGTATCTATGTGTTAGTTGTATTTTACGATATGTTGGCTTCCAGCAAACATTCAAATTCAACAAATGAATAAATGTTTGTTTTTGTTATCCATCAACATGCTGGCTGGCTGGCTGACTGGATGGCTGGTTGGCATTCTACATTTCAATCAGAAATACAAACATGTCAAACTGTCGGTAGAAACTTCAAACGTTTACTCAGTGTTGCAACAAGTTTTATGCCGTTGTAACTTTTATGCGAAACTAGTTTTGCACAGAAAGTATTGAATAAATCTGTTTTTAGTGAAAACAATTTTTGATGAGAAAATAAAAGAACGACTTAATTTTGTCAAATTTCGAAGGCAATCTAAAGTTTGAGGGTGTGTCAGCTCCCTCACCATCATGTAAGGTATTTTTATGACAATAATATGCAATTGTTGATATTTTTTTTGGGGGAATTTTTCCCTTAACACTTTAAATGCCAGGAGTTTCTAACGGTTTATTGCTTGCTGCTGGTCGTTGTTTTGGCTTGTGTTAAAACTTCTTCTCTTGTGGCTTAATTTCGTATATTGCATTGCAAAAACACAAAAAAAAAAAAAAAAAAAACACGAGCAACGATGAAAACCACTACAACTGCAGGTGTGTTCCGATGTTGTAAGCCGGCGTATATTGTGTTGAGAAATTGGAAAATGTTTTCGATGGAAAACAGTTTACTTACCGCAACCTCATTGCTCAACAGCTCACGATCTGTGGGTGTAATATCCAGATCGATTGCATTGAAATTTGCACGTATGGGATGCACCTTCTCGAAGAGTTCAGGATTCTGTTCACGTATCGTATCAAATATCTGTAAAAGAGTCAAAGGTAAACATCATTCAGGTGTGATGTGTAGTTGTTGGTGGTGATGGTTGTAAATAGCAAAGTTTTGATGAACATGTTTGTATGCGGTGCACAGTGATTTGAGAGAGACTTTTTATGAGAATTTAAACCAGTAAAGAAAGTCCTAAAGTCGGGCGGACATAACAATTAAAAGTTTTAATGGGAGAATTCAATCATACACGCTATGATTATAATTATAATTTAAAGTTCGAAGGACTAAATATGCCGAAGCATTTGTATCTTTTGAATTCGGACTTTTTGGTGCAAAATTAATTTAAAACCAGATAAAGATATATATGGGAGCTATATCCAAATCTGAACCGACTCGATAAAATTTGGCAATGATATTTCTGAGCTGTATTTGATGTATGTCCATGAATATCGTTGTTACGGAGTGCATATTACGGCTGTGCGTAACAAATACAACAAATCGGATGAACAATATATATGGGAGCTATAGCTATATCTCAACCGATTTCGATCAAATTTGGCATACTTATTTTCAGGCCTAATTTGGTTGTATGTGCAAAATTCCATACTATTCGGGCTGATATTACACGTTTGGTGCACAAAAAAGGCAAATCGGACGAAGATATATATGGGAGCTATATCCAAATTTTTACCGATTATCTCCAATTTCAATAGGGCTCGTCCTTGGGCCAAAAAAATGATTTGAGCAAAATTTCATCTCAATCGGATAATAAATGCGACCTGAATTTTGTTCACAAGAATACATGGACAGACGGACGGACGGACAGACGGACTGACATGCATAAATTAACTCAGAAAGTGATTCTATGGAGATCCTCAAAAGAAACTATGGGTCTATCTCGCTTCCTTCTCCATGTTACAAACAAATGCACAAAGACATAATACCCTTACCACTTTATGGTGTAGGGTATAAAAAGAAGACTGAAAAGCGTTCATTTTTCTAAACTTTGGTGGTTTGAAAATCCGACGAGGACGAGTTAAGTGCCCGGCTATTGGAACTAAAAACATTCTTGAGAGAACCAAATGCTGTCCTGTGATACTTATCAAAGAGGTAAAAAAAGTATTTTTTAAATCCGAATATTGGTAAATGTTGGGGTGAGATGCGGCTGCTTTATTCGAAATTCTGAAGGTAAAATTCGTATAAAGAGTAGATTTGCATAGATCGGGGAGGCCGGAATCCTGCATTTTTTACATTTTTCTTAAGATTTTTTTTTTGTTGTTGCAAAATGGTCAGACTTATCCCTTTATTGTTGTTTTTTGTCATAGAAGTTATTTTTAAAATAACTTCTGGGGAGAATATCCCAGACAAAAACAAGGGAACTGATGAGGATTGGTGGCTCTTTCCGAAACCTAGGTATTCCCTGCCTTACCCCCTGGTAACATTACCATCGTTCTCCACTAATAAACAAACGTTGTTTTATAAAAACAACAATAAAGGGATAAGCCTGACCATTTTGCAACAACAAAATACTACGGTATCCCGAACAAACAAGCCACACTGTTCGATTTTTTTTTTTTAAAAATTTGCACTACGGAATTTGTGACTACACTTACAATTCGGGTTTTTGGAAATTCGTACTACAAGGGTACGATAAGTAAAAAATGTACTAAAAATTTAATAATTTCTGTTAGACAAGCGGAATAAGCTAGAATTCTAAAATTTGGCATAAGAGTCACAGATGAAGTGCAGTATAGGTGTACCAAAGGGTTTTTGGAAATCCGAACTTTAGGGTTACGAAAAGTCCCAAAATTTTACTAAACTTCTAAAATGGTACAATTTGGCATGATGTGAACGGATAAGGCTAATAGCTATAGAAATTTGGTTTGAGAATCAAAGTTAGAAAATAAATATGATATATGAAGGTGGTTTTCAAAATTTGTACTAAGTGGTACTTAATTTGGAACAGTGTGGGTTACGCTGATGAAGCCGAAATTTTTAAATTTTCTATTGGGGTTCCTGTTGGTGGTAGGTGAAACTTAGTATTAGAGTAAAGAGGTGGTTTTTGGGAATGTGTACTACAAGTTCACGCAAAGCACTAAATAGTACTATATTTGGTACAATTTGGTTTTGGATTAACAGATAGTGTATGAAATCTGAAACTTAGTATTAGAGACGGTCTACATGTGTATCCTGGACATGGGAAGGGGGTTTCGGAAGTGTGTACTGTAATTGTATAAAAAGTACTGAATGGTACTATATTTGGTATTGGATGAAGGGATAGAGATAAAATTCTTATATTTGATATTTAAGGTACTCATGGTATATGTGTTTGAGATTTGGCGGTAGTTTTGAAATGCTACATACCTATGTGCGAAAAATAATAAGTGGTACTAAATTTGGTGTTGGCTGAAGGGATTGAGCTGGAATCCTGAAATTTAATATGGATGCAACTGTTGGTGTCTGTTGTTGAGACATGAAGATGGTGGATGGAAATATGAACCATAATTATGCGAATAGTACCAAATAGTAGTGAATTTGTTATAGGGTGTAATAGAGCTGAAGTCCTGAATCATATTCCTGTTGGTATCTTTATATGAGATTGGGAGGCGATTTTGGAAATGGGTACCATAATTGCAAGAAAAGTATAAACATAGAATTCTGAAATTTTGCTACCGAGATCACTATTTGTGTCTAGAATGGAGAGATATAGGTATATAAATTTGGAAAAGTGTGGGTCACGCTAATGAAGCTGGAATTTTTAATTTTTTAAATTAGGGTTCCTGTTGGTGGTAGGTTTGTAGTAAATAGCTTGTTTTTGGGTATGTGTACTACAAGTTCACGCAAAGCACTAAATTGTACAATATTTGGTACAATTTGGTTTTGGTTTAACATATAGTGTTTGAAATCTGAAATTTGGTATTAGAGACGCTCTTCATGTGTATCCTGGACATACGAAGGTGGTTTCGGAAGTGTGTACTGTAATTGTACGAAAACTACTGAATGGTACTATATTTGGTATTGAGTAAAGAGATAGAGATAAAATTCTGAAATTTGATATTTAGATTACTGATGGTATCTGTGTTTGAGATTTGGTGGTGGTTTGGAAATGCGACACACCTCTGTGCGAAAAATAATAAGTGGTACTAAATTTGGTGTTGGCTGATGGGATTGAGCTGGAATCCTGAAATTTAATATGGATGTCACTGTTGGTGTCTGTTGTTAAGACATGAAGATGGTGGATGGAAATATGTACCACAATTATATGAAAAGTATCAAATAGTACTGAATTTGTTATAGGGTGTAATAGAGCTGAAGTCCTGAATCATATTCCTGTTGGTATCTTTATATGAGATTGGGAGGCGATTTTGGAAATGGGTACCATAATTGCAAGAAAAGTATAAACATAGAATTCTGAAATTTTGCTACCGAGATCACTATTTGTGTCTAGGATGGAGAGATATAGGTGATTTTGGACAAGGCATAACGGTACGAAAACTATGGTAATAAATTTGGGTTTGGGGCTTAGGATAGAGAATGTGTGTACGAAGCTTACTCAATGGTACCCGACATTAAGAGACATACAATATTTCAAAATTCTAGCCTCAGCTATTTAGCCTGAATCTGTCAGTTAGTCAGCCACTTACACTCTACTGATAACATATTGTATTGTTAACAAGCGTACACAAGCATTTTGGTGAGAATTTTCCAGAAAAAAAATGTTTGTGATGGAATTCAAGCGTAATAGTGAGATTTCTTTATATTTGGCTGGAAAACCACAAGTGGCTTGCGTTAGCATCTAAATGTGAATAAATCTTTGTGTATCATGCCATCGCTCGTTACCGTGACGTCAAGGAAGTGGACAGAAGAAAACAGCAACATCAGCAGAAATGGTACGGAAGGTAAAAGTAAGCGGTTGATCGAAACCGCGTCGCAGAGGCCGAAAAATGGCTTGTGCTTGTGCGCTGAACATATCGCAATATTCCATTCGGCAAATATTAAAAAATTAGTTCGGTATAAAGCCATTGAAATTCCAAAAAGTGCAATAACTTACACCGCAAGGGATATAAAATGGACTCAAAAGAGCTAAAGAGTTGCTTCGCATGGCCGAAAGTGGTGAACTGCAGTTTGTAAACAAACAAAAAGATCGTGTTTACTTGCCAAAGAGGTCAGCTGAAAATGTGCACCTTCGGTTGCCCACCAGAACTAAAGCGCCGCCAATGGTGATGGTGTGTGCCGCCATAACAGCCGATGGTCGCTCTCCGCTCGTATTAATCGACCATCATCAGAAAAAATGCCGAATATTATTGGGAAAATATTCTGGAGGTTGTATTAAAGCCTTGGGCACGCAAACATTTTGGCCGCAGACCTTGGACAATCCAACAGGACTCAGTACGCGCCACCCAAGAATGGTTACAAAATGCGGCTCCTCGCTTCATTTCCAGCGCACAGTGACCACCAAAATCTCCGGATCTTGGACATTCCAACAGGACTCAGCACGCGCCACCCAAGAATGGTTACAAAATGAGGTTCCTCGCTTCATTTCCAGCGCACAGTGGCCACCATTATCTCCGATTACCAATCCGTTGGACAATTGTGTCTGGAGTATTTTGGAAAGGAAGGTTGGCACTAAAAAATAGCAAAGTGTCGATCACCTCAAGCAAGCGCTTTGCCGAGAATAGGCCAAAATACCGCAGAGCAACATTCGGACAGCGTGTGACGGTTTTATTGGCCGATTGAAGGCCATTATTCGTGCCAAAGGTGACCAATTCGAACAAATCTAAACTTATTTTAAAATTAGATGCTATTTTCGACATTTTTTGCTTTCATTCAATGAAATTAAAAAAAATGTAAAAATTATGGCGTTTGACTTTGTTGCAGTTTTTTATCACACCCTGTAAAATGCCACAAGATATGCCGTTGAGTGTTGGGATAGAGATGGAATTCTGGAATTTGGTATTGCAGACATTATTTTTGTCTAGGGTGGATAGAAAGAGGCGGTTTGGCGGTAAAAAAAATTGGGATCGGGTTTTAGGATGTAGATGAAATTTGATATGGAGGCGTACCATTATTTTTCGAAATGTACTAAATTGTACCAAATTTTGCACTTGATAGAATGGATAGAGCTGACATTTTGGAATTCGATATTGAGACCCCTGTTTGTTTCTAGGGTTTACTTGTGGTTTGTGTGGTTTTACTTGACGTTGAAATAGTTTTGGACAGAAAAATTGGATGTGGGTCCATTGTGCTATGATTTTCCTAATATCCTTCTCGGATAACTTCAAAATCAAAGATTTAGAGGACTTTTTTGCGTAAAAGGTAACCATTTTCCTATTATTCTTTTCGAAGCAAGGAAAAAACGTGAATAATATATAAAAAATTAAAAGGCTAAAAATGTGGTATGATATATAAAGTTTGGATTAAAAAAAAATTTATCGAGCTGAACAAATTGTGCATTTTGAGCTGTTCGAATGAATCTAAAATTTTAGGGTGGTCTTTTCGCTGCCGAAATAACGTGCGAGTCATGGGTATAATTTCCTGCATACCTTTAAATAAGTTATGGCTCGAATTTCCAAAAAAAAGCTTTATCGTTCCCCTGCGCCCCAACATGGATCCACATGCAATATTTTAAAATCCTTGTTTAAGCCAATTCGACTGAATATAGATGAAGTCGTAGAAAATCCAAAAGTTTTCACAAAAAGTGACTGAAGTCAAACCTTATAATAAGGGTATATATCTTGACTTCTAACTTGCTTCGCATTTTGAAAGTCCTGGTCATACCATTTTTTTCAACTGAACAATTTTCATTATTTGATATTTCGGGTCTGTAACCTTTAAAAAAACTATCCGACCAGTGTTGGGATTTCGTGGACAACCTGTTATTTGTTTCACTTAATTTCTCTTATACCACCACAACCACATTTATTTTTCCGCTTTGCAACTTGAAGCCTGTATTTTATAGCCTAACATTTAATTAGGACATTGCTTGTTTATAAAATTCCAATTTGTCATGTCACTCAGATAGCCTGAGCAATTGAATAGATAAAAATAGGACACAATTTTTGTTATGGGAAAATTTCCACGTGGTTTTCTAAGGGGTGGCATTTAACAAAATAGGAATACTTTAAGGTACAATGAGAACGCATTCAATTGGAAAAATTTCCTTCTCACCTACATGGTTTCCAAAACCTTCCTTCCATCCATTTTTTCTTAAGAATCACTGTACATTGCCCCTTGCCATTTCCATTGCTCCGCTCAACTTACCGTTTCGGTGAAATATTCCTGCAAACGCTGCTCCACCGTCATATTATTCTTGCAACGTATTAACATGTAAATTCGACGCACTTCAAAGGTTCGCAATAGCTTTTGTATCAACACCTTGCCAACGAAACCGGTACCGCCCGTGATGAGAATGGTGGCGTTACGGTAAAAGTCCTTGATTGGTGATTCGCTGTTACCACAAGTGTTTGGCAAATGTTTGTTGCTGTTGGTGGTGCTGCTGCCGTCGCCGCTGTTTTTGTTGTTGGTAATATTGTCCCTGTCACATTCAGTGTTGATCTGGAATTCAGCGGATAAGTTGTCAGTTGCAGATGCAGCAGTAGCAGGACTGCTAGTGCCACCAGTTCTAGTAGCATTTTTATGCTGGTCCTGACCAAACGCATGTAACGAATTCATAGCCTCTTCCACCATCGCTTCTGTGGTAAATGTCACTGTTGGCCGTGGTGCACTCTCGTTACTGGCCATATCCAGTGGACTCTTGCGGTCAGGCGATGAAATTGATTTGCATTCCATACAGGAACCGATGCTGGTTTTCCTGGCATCTAAATGGAAAGGGAGGGGGAGGAAAGAAAATGCATGGATTTAGTTTAAAAATTTTGCTATGAAATTTAAGAGATTAGCTTAAAACAAAAAAGAAAAATACCTTTATCTCTATTTCCTTCATCCATTGCTGTTGCTTTTTGTATTGCTATATCGATTGTGAAATTATTAGCTGACCGTTGCTCTAAACGTTTGTTAATAAACTGACTGAAAAATTGGAACTTGTCTATAAATATATGTAGGTGAAGGCAAACGGAACACAGTGGGGGAAATTGAAATAAGAAATTTTACAAAAAATAAAAAAAAAATGGTGGGGCCGAAACTACTTGAAAGTGGATAAAAGGAGCGAAGAACGTATCCAATATTCCGGGAGTCTCTATAGACGAGCTGTAGGCCAGGGAATCATCTACAGACGAGATGAAGGCAATGGAATCCCCAGGGAGTCTCTATAGACGAGGTGAAAGCCAGAGGGTCTCTAGAGACGCGCTGAAGGTCAGACAGTCCTCTAGAGACGAGCTGGAGGCCACGGAGTCTCCATATACGAACGGTAGCCTCTATAGACGAGCTTAAGGCCAGGGAGTCCCTATAGACGAGCTAAAGTCTCTATAGATGAGCTAAAGGCCACGGAGTCTCCATAGACGAGCTGAAGACCAGGGAGTCTCTATAGACGAGCTGAAGACCAGGGAGTCTCTATAGACGAGCTGAAGGCCAGGGAGTCTCTATAGACGAGCTAAAGGCCAGCGAGTCTCTATAGACGAGCTGAAGGCCAGCGAGTCTCCATAGACGAGCTGAAGGCCAGGGAGTCTCTATAGACGAGCTGAAGGCCAGGGAGTCTCTATAGACGAGCTGAAGGACAGGGAGTCTCTATAGACGAGCTGAAGGACAGGGAGTCTCTATTGGCGAGCTGAAGGCCAGGGAGCCTCTATAGACGAGCTGAAGGCCGGGGAGTCTCTATAGACAAGCTGAAGGCCAGGGAGCCTCTATTGGCGAGCTGTAGGTCAGGGACTCTATAGGCAAGCTGTGGATCAGGGAGTCACTATTGGCGAGCTGTGAATCAGGGAGTCTCTATTGGCGAGCTGAAGCCCAAGGAGTCTCTATAGACGAGCTGAAGGCCAGGGAGCCTCTATAGACGAGCTGAAGGCCAGGGAGTCTCTATAGACGGGTTGAAGACCAGGGAGTATCAATAGACGAGCTGAAGGCCAGGGGGTCTCTATAGACGTGCTGAAGGCCAGCGAGTCTCTATAGACGAGCTGAAGGCCAGCGAGTCTCTATAGACGAGCTGAAGGGCAGCGAGTCTCTATAGACGAGCTGAAGGCCAGCGAGTCTCTGTAGACGAGCTGAAGGCCAGCGAGTCTCTATAGACGAGCTGAAGGCCAGGGAGTCTCTGTAGACGAGCTGAAGGCCAGCGAGTCTCTATAGACGAGCTGAAGGCCAGGGAGTCTCTGTAGACGGGTTGAAGACCAGGGAGTATCTATAGACGAGCTGAAGGCCAGCGAGTCTCTATAGACGAGCTGAAGGCCAACGAGTCTCTATAGACGAGCTGAAGGCCAACGAGTCTCTATAGACGAGCTGAAGGCCATCGAGTCTCTATAGACGAGCTGAAGGCCAGCGAGTCTCTATAGACGAGCTGAAGGCCAGCGAGTCTCTATAGACGAGCTGAAGGCCAGCGAGTCTCTATAGACGAGCTGAAGGCCAGCGAGTCTCCATAGACGAGCTGAAGGCCAGGCAGTCTCTATAGACGAGCTGAAGGCCAGGGAGTATCTATAGACGAGCTGAAGGCCAGGGAGTCTCTATAGACGAGCTGGAGGCCGGGGAGTATCTATAGACGAGCTGAAGGCCAGGGAGTCTCTAAAGGCGAGCTGAAGGCCAGAGAGTTTCTATAGACGAGCTGAAGGCCAAGGAGTCTCTATAGACGAGCTGAAGGCCAGCGAGTCTCTATAGACGAGCTGAACGCCAGCGAGTCTCTATAGACGAGCTGAAGGCCAGCGAGTCTCTATAGACGAGCTGAAGGCCAGCGAGTCTCTATAGACGAGCTGAAGGCCAGCGAGTCTCTATAGACGAGCTGAAGGCCAGCGAGTCTCTATAGACGAGCTGAAGGCCAGCGAGTCTCTATAGACGAGCTGAAGGCCAGCGAGTCTCTATAGACGAGCTGAAGGCCAGCGAGTCTCTATAGACGAGCTGAAGGCCAGCGAGTCTCTATAGACGAGCTGAAGGCCAGCGAGTCTCTATAGACGAGCTGAAGGCTAGCGAGTCGCTATAGACGAGCTGAAGGCCAGCGAGTCTCTGAAGACGAGCTGAAGGCCGGGGAGTCTCTGTAGACGAGCTGAGGGCCAGGGACTATCTGTAGACGAGCTGAGGGCCAGGGAGTCTCTGTAGACGAGCTGAACGCCAGGGAGTCTCTATAGACGAGCTGAAGGCCAGGGAGTCTCTATAGACGAGCTGGAGGCCGGGGAGTCTCTATAGACGAGCTGGAGGCCGGGGAGTCTCTATAGACGAGCTGAGGGCCAGGGACTATCTGTAGACGAGCTGAGGGCCAGGGAGTCTCTGTAGACGAGCTGAACGCCAGGGAGTCTCTATAGACGAGCTGAACTCCAGGGAGTCCCTGTAATATAATATTGAGTCTCTATAGACGAGCTGAAGGCCAGGGAGTCATCTATAGGCGAGCTGGAGGCCAGGGAGTCTTTATAGAAGGAAGTCAACAAGCTAAAGGAAGTCGGAGTCTCTATAGACAAGCTAAAGGAAGTCGGAGTCTCTATAGAAGTAAAGGGTGGATTTTTAAGTTAATCTAAGGACCGCTTCTATGGACGATATGAAGGCCGGCACAGACGGTCCTCGTATTTTTTCTTCAAAAATTTCAAAATTGATTGATGAATATTTTAACAAAAAAAAAAAAAAAAATGAAATAAATAAATAAAAACAAAACTAAAAAATCTCCTACTGTTTGCTGACATGGTAACCTAAAAGTGTACATTTCATGCTATTCATTCAACCATTCACTCATTGTATCAATCAATCAAACGGACAATTCACAAATCAATAAATAAACAGTTCGTATTCTTGCAAGAAGTTCCCACAATTCAATGGCCATCAGTGGAATTGGGTGGTCTGGTTCTTGGTTCGGTCTGCCGTTTGTGGTTTGTAGGACCCGGACACGCAAACATAATGGTGCAATGCATACCAACTTAGCTAGAGAGAGAGGGGGATGTTAGGTACTTTATGACATTTTGGTCGCGTCATATGTTGCGTGATAAACATGTGACCCACGCCACACCACTACACACGCCACCAATCGACCGACCGACAGACCGCACCACATCACACACATGCCACTACAATGTCCAAGGAATCGATTACAAAATTAAATATTTTGAAATGCATACCCTTAGCGAACCACCACCAACCAATTGACATGATGAAATGCAGTTAACATTTGTCTGTAGGTGGGTGGGCAGGACAATAATTACCATTCTATGTCTTATAAATGGCAAGGAACATATTCGATGGGGGAAACATTAGCCTGGCCTGTATGTTGGGGTTAGCTATGCATAGCGTTTGGTTCGGTATGTCTACTCTACGATAACTGTTGCAACCTGTTTATTTGCCCGAATGTGTGTAAAATAATCCACTAGTATGGCGACAGGGAAAATGTCGTACAAAATAGATAGACAACATTTGTGTCGGCATCAATCCAGCCTTACTTTGAAGTACATCGCATTCATTGCCAGCATTTTCATTGTGGGCTTATTTGAACTACCAGGATTTGATGTACATGATATTATGCTGCCAGATAGAAAACTGTTTACCGGAATTTTGTACTGAAGTAATCAATTCCAAATGATTAAAAGCTGAACAGTGAATCAAAATTGGCTGCTGAAATCGTTTTATTCTCTTCATCTACTAAAAGTCTGCAGAATATATTCCGAATAAAAACCAAATGGAAAGGATCAAATTCGGGCGGGGCCGACTATTTTGTACTATATATCATCCTGGTTTTAATACACCCTCCAGAATATTTTCGCGATAATATTCGTCATTTATTCTGTAGCCACGATAAACCTTTAAATGAGCTGTCACTGGAATAATTTTAACAGCTGATACAGTTTATTTTTTTTTTTAATTTATAAGATTAAATTTTTCATTGTTTAAAATTCTGGTGGGACCTCTCAAAATATGCTTAAAAAAGCCACGTTAATTGCTCTGATAGTGCCTCTCAAAATATATTCTAAAAATTAAAGTTTATACCCTGATCTTACTTCTCCAAAATTCCATTTTAAATATTGATGGGGCCTTTTACAATGTCCTTTAAAAATCCGTGTTTATAACTGTGATGGGATCGCTTGAAAAAAGCCCAAAAAAGCCTGATTTGACTTCATAAAGTATCCTTTAAATATCCATATTTTATTCCCTGATGTGAAGTCTCGTAATATCCATCAAGAGTTCTAATTGGGCCCCCTAAAACATCCTTTAAATTCTATGTTTAAAGCTGTTTCTTAAAATTCCACTTAAAAATCCTGATTGGACCCATCGAAATTTCTTTCAAATCATCCCTAGAAAACCTTTAACCCTAGTTAGATAACGTACGTCTGCGAGACGTTGGCCTTTTGAATTTTTTACTCTCTCTCTCTGCCGATCATTAACAGAGAAACCTCTCATGCTCTGTTATCTCAGCCGGTAGCAACAACTTGGCGGTGGTGGTTGTTTTTTTGCGGTAAGTTCGATATTTTCTTAGAAAAAGACACAAATAGAATCAGCGTACGTCTGAGAGACGTATGGTTATCTTTTGAGCAACTTTAGGTTTGTTTTTTAAAGGAACTATCACGACCCATACATGGCACATATCGAAATATAACTTGCGATAATTGGTTCACGTCTATTCCTTTAGCAAAGGGTCTACTTAATGAACCTTACAAGTTGACTCTAGTGGGAACCATAAGATCTAATAAACGAGAAATACCGGAGGAAATGAAAAACATCCGTGCACGAAAGGTTGGAACTACCATGTTTTGCTATGATGGCCCTTTAACTCTCTTATCGTACAAACCAAGGCCATCTAAAATGCTCTATTTGCTGTCTTCCTGCAATGAAAAAGGTACGATTGACGACAAAACTGGAAAGCCGGATATAATATTATACTATAATGAAACAAAGGGTGGTGTCGATACTTTCGACCAAATGTGTTCGTTGATGTC